TTAAGAAATGATAATATTTCATATAATATATGAGTATTACATTGCTTGTGTATGAATTACCTATTATACAATGAGAGCTGAAATTTTCACAATTTTTTAAATCATACAAAGTACACAAGTAAAGTCTTTAAACATCGAATCGATCATAATTTTCCGTTAGAATAATGATATGTAAGGTCAAAATTAATCTAGAATTCTGTAAAATGAATCATTTTTACAATAGTGAATTGTTTCAAGAGGTTGTTCTTTCTTATTTACTTGCCTTTATTATTTTTCAACAGAACTGGATTATTTTACTTTCAGTTGGAAATTTCCAACTTATAAGCGCAACATAAGATGATTGTAAATAAGGTTACTAACTGAATAATGATGAATCATCATAATATATTTATTATCTGAAACAGTCAAATCATATGTAAACAGTTTATAAAAAACAGAAAAAATAAATAATTAATTTCCTAATAAATAAATCAATTATACCTTAGAAGTAATTAGTTAAATTAATTCATATCTGGATTTTTTTCTCAAATAATGAGTGTACCAGAAGTTTTGCGACATTGAGTATTTTCAAATATCTCAACAGAGATTAATCGTATGATCTTGATTTGTTTTTTAAAAGATGCGCTATCAAAAACTCTGAAAAATCTGTAGAAGTAAGTTCCTATCGCAAAACAAAGATATCTTCCTCATACTTGATACCCTGGGACGTACTTTCATCATCTAACCTATTTATTTTGAATATAGAAGACATCATCAGAACAATTCGCTAGAAATTTATTCTTAAAGGCTTTTATAGAATTTTTCATGATGTATCTTTAAAAAAAAAGAAGCACGATTTTACAACTGATGTTTGCTGATATATTTGAAAAAAAAACTACTTGTAAAAGTTCTGGTACATCAGATATATACATTTACATGTTAATTCATATTCATTTTATATAATCACAATGGAAGATGTTTAGTACATGAGAATTTTTTTTGAAAATTATATCAAATAGTTTCAGGGTGTGGGTATGAATCTTTTCTTAAGCCAACAACAACCACACCTACACCCAATTAGAATCTTGCTTTTAAATTCCTACTATTTGCCAAAAACTCAAACAATATCTCTATTTCTAAATATTTTAGTTATTTATTTTGTAGCATTGAATTTTAAATCTTTCAAAGCAGTGACAATATTACGAGTTGGTTATGTCAATTACCACTCTACTACTTATTTTCAGTCCTATTAGAAAAAGAAAAATGTAATGCTTAACATCATTTACGTTATATTGTATGAATTTACTGTAAGATCGTATAGTATTAGTGCTGAAATTCCATAAAATATTGTTACATATTGAAGTACTCAGAGTTTCATATGATATATTGGTAATAGAGCATCTTTGCAGATATTTAGAATCTACACTTCAGCTTAAACTAAATATTATGTTATAGATTTAATGCATATTTCAAAAAAGGATATTTTTTTAATATAAATCATATTTTCCAAAAGATGTTTTATTTTTGTGAAAGATATCAAATTAGTTTAAAACTTCAGATATCAAGGTAACATTGTGATATTAGAAAAATATTAGCCAAAAATTAAAAAAATAATTTTAAATGCATGAATACTTATTAAGCTATAATTAATTCATATGATACCTTTTTTTTTTCGTTCTCATTCAAATATGTTTGGCAATATTGTTTGATAGCATCTAATTATTTGTTTGGGAATTAGATCAATTCTACTTATTTGTAAGATCAATTTATAGATCTTATCCAGACTGATTGAAGTTTTTCTTGATATTGATACATTTTCTATTCGTTTATATTCTTTTTTTAAATTGATTAATTAAATTTTTCATAGAATAGTAAATTAAGACTATTATTGGACTTAACTTACAAATTTCATTTGCTTCCGATGCTCGATTTTTAACAATAAAAAAATCTTTAAATTCAAAACTTGCTTGGTTTAGCTGATCCAATGTCGATTTCATCTCGTCTATAAATTTTCTATTTACATTATCTGAAAGTTTAAAATTAAGTCTATAATCAACATCAATATCTTTTTTTTCGACGACATCAGCAAATTAAACATTTCTCAGAAAATATATGTGAATTATCGGAATAAATCCAAAATCTATCATAATTTTCAAGAACACGTTTGCACTTTGTACAGATAGTTGAAGAATGAGGCACAAGAATAAGACGATGTTTTATCCATAATTTTGATGATTTTTCTTCGTACAAGATAAGATTACGAAAGACATTTCGAACTGTTTCTAGTATTGTACGAATCATTTGATTGATTAGAAATTCTGCATCATTAATTGATTTCCATTTTGTATAGTGACAGGTTTTTTGCTTATTACAAATATCTGTAAGAAGATGATTCGATACAGTTACTGACTTTATCCAACTTTCTTGATATTCATCTTTTTCATAATCATCAAAATCAATTCCGTTTTGAATGGCTATCAAATATCGAAATGATTCATTATCAAAACAAAATGTATTTGCCTTGTTGAATGGAATATGTTTAATAGGAAAATTAGAAAGTATTTTGTTTAAGTAAAGGAACTGTATCAATTGAAGTAAAGAATGTCAATCGAGTATTCGTAAAACAAAATATAATGTTATTACGAATATTTTCATCTAAACAATCTATCAATTGACTGAAATAGGAACGAAAAACAATGTTTCATTTTGATTCATTGGGTTTGAGAAGTACACAGAGAGCATTTAAATGTGAGAGATTATACATAATCTATAGAATATGTTGCATATTCAAATCATCTTGATCATGTCCGCGAATGTCATCCATCCCGGGTGTATCAATTAATCTTAGTTTTCTTCGATTGGCCTGGATGATGATGATCTTCATTGGAATCTTCAGCACCAAATTTAACAATTTTCTCTAGAATATTATCACCGGTTCTTATAATGAACGACACAGATAGAACTACAATTAGTTGACTCGAATGAGCTTTTTCGAAAGTATCAAAAATAAAGTAATTGATAATGGCATTGATAAATATTGATTTACCAACACCAGATTCGTCAAGAAGGAGAACACTGATAAAAGTATATTCGAAGTTATTTGATTCATCAACTGTGTATATTCGTATATTTCTTTGGTTATATCGATTAGATGTCCGTGACGACGAAGAGATAAGGTGACGCTTTTTTTCCCGAGATTGTTAGATAAGAATATCTCTCGGTTTGGTAACTTCTTGGCACGTCTATAATGTTGTGGGATTCCTTCTTGAGAAGTATTACTGAATTCTACAGTAGAGTCAACACCTTTCTGAATGTCAGTTGCCGATGATTGATGGTAATACATTCTTAGGAGTGAATCAGTCAGATGATGACGTTTTTTCGGTTAAATCTAAAAAACAGAATCAACTGAAGGAAAATGTCTAAAACATTAGATTTCCTACTATTAGTTGTGCATTTCTTTGGAAACGTGGAAATGATTCTTAACGAAAGTGTTGATCTTCAACTATGATATAACAAGACTTCTGTATTTTTACTTTACTGTTGGGTGTGGAGTCTTGTGCTTTCTCTCAATAAGATATTTTCTTTCTAAGGATCTGAAATTTCGATAGCCAACATATTAGAACTTACACCTTTTTTTTGACTTCTTTGCTATCATGTTAAAAAATAACGATCGTGTCTAATAATTAAAAAAGAATTCAAAGAAGTGTCGAAGCTAACAACACTTACGTTTGAAATATTTCATTGTTTTATTAGATTTTTTTCTGATATGTTCAAATCTAGCTTTCATTACAAAAACAAAAATTCCGTAAGTTATTCGAGAAAAAAGTTCCAAAAGATGTGAGTGATAAAAACATTAACTTCTTCTTTTTCTGAGTATTTTCTAATAAAAACGAACATGTAAACTTCTGATAGAGAGCTGAAACTGTGAGAGCATGCCGTAGAATTATGTGAGAAATTGTCAAGTTTTTCTTTTCATCCGTCTTTTTCTTACCTTCACAACCATGAACATAATAGAGTATCTGGAGTTTTTCTTTCTTTAGTTATATCACTACAACACATTTTCAAAAATTTTAAGTGTGCTCGGACGAACAATAAAAAGGTAATTTTTTAATATACGACAGCTTGCATACTTTTACAATAGTTTGTACAACGATGACGATATTTCATAAAAGAAAATAATGAAAATCTTTACGAAACGAAGAAACAAATACAAGTGACTAATGAGTTCAATTCAATTTTTTCTTGCTGTTACTATTGTGACACGTACGAGATTCAACTATAACTTCATATTTCTTTCTTTCTAAATTTTATCAACAGATTGAGAAAAAAAAATATTTGTACAAAAAATGTATGATATAGATGACAATGAGTTTGTACCAAAAAGTAAATTCTTCAATATCTATTAACTATGAAAGTACTATTTTCGATATTTGCATCTTAATAAGTTGCATTGTTTTATTATTTTCTTCTAGCATGATATCGATGTCATAATCTTCATCATGTTTTTTTTGTTGACTTCTTTGCAAATGGATGCATTCTTGTCCCAAAAACTGATTTATTGATCACGGTAGTTGATACCATTGCTAAAATCCATTTAGTGCATAAATCAATCTTTATTTCGAATAAAAACAATAAATTAAATATTTGTTGGAAAACAATAGCTACTACATTATAAGAGATTTGTTACAGTATAATTATATCAGAAAAAAAACCAGATAGGATACAAAAAAAAGAACAACTCTTCCATAATATTAAAAAAATTGTTCAGCTGATGTAAATATGATTCTATGCATTTAAATTCTTTGAGGACAATATTCATGGTTTTATTCTAAATGAAGAAGATTTATTTGATTAAATTCTCCTAACTTTATTATGATTTCTAGATCAACTATTCTTCTGAAATGAAGGCCTAAGACTTATTCCAATAAAATCAAATATAAGAAACAAAGTCAAAAATAAAAAATAACACATAAGCTATGTTAGCCAAGGTGTGATTATAGACGAAAAACTCATGTAGCATTCTACCCAAGCAAGAGAGCATGAGTTTTTCCATCAAGACCTAAATCATTAAGACCATCAAGAACTTCAGCAGGTGTAATCATTGTATAATTAGTACCAAACAAGACTTTATTACGACCGTGAATTTTCATATATTCAATTAAAGCGCGAGGATAACATTGAATAGTATAAGCAGAAATATCAGTATAAATGTTCAGATGTTTAGTAGCAACGGTAATAGCTTCTTCAATCTACAGATATCCAATATGACTTGCAATAATCATTAAATCAGGTAAATCAAGTGCTATATGATCAATATATATATCGGATGATCAACTTCAGATGGCACCAATGGACCAGTATGACCTATTTGTAATCAAGAAAGAACACACGTGTTCCTTTAAAAGTAAATTTTTCTACACATCGACGAATTTCACGCATCACTAACACATGCCGAGTAATATCAACCGAATCAATACCAATTAATAGTCCATTTGATTGAGAAACAAAATTGGATATTTTATCATTCGAAATCATTACTTTATTCGAAGCATATCAAGCATTGATCAACATTAGCTGCATAAAGTATGGCTATTGCCGAAAATACACTTTGTGTTTCATATAAGCTAGTGCTTTTGTCTGACGAAGTAAACTGTCAAATATAAGATCCTGAATGTGATTTCATGTTGGATGTTGACCCCAAACATCAACAATTATGTGTTGTTTAGAATCATTTTTTCTTTTATAAGAAACATTTTTGACACTGTTACGTTGTTGATTTTGAATTTCTTTTCTGCAGCTTTAATAAGAAACGATATTTTATAATCTTTAAAAGAATGTGGTATAGCTGATCTAATCAGTATTTCTTTATTATCATATGAATTTTCATTGAATACAATGAAATGTATAAATGACATTTGAATCATGATTGAAAAGATGCAGCTTGAAGACTGTATCGTGCAATGGACTTCTCTTTCATGGAAGCTGTTTAATGAATCAAAAAAAAGATAATAGCAATAACTTTAAAATTCCAACATCAGTTAATCCCTTCTGTTAATATATAGAGAAATATTAATTTTAAAGGTTTATTCGATATAGTATAAACGAATGATTACAAACTTAGAATTTTTGAATGAGATTTAAACCTGTAGCTAAACATAATGAAATGAGAAAATAAATAAATAAACCTATTACCTTGAATCGTATGGAATTAAAATGTGAACAATGATAAATTCACGTAACGAAAGATTGTAATTGTAATGTATTACGAAGATATAAATACCTTAAATTCACTTGTTTATCATGGTAATTTTGATTACTGCATCACTCCATCAATACTCTATTTAACAAAGATTTAGTATAGAAGATGAATATCTATCTCATAACATTCCTCTTTGAGTGTGTTTTTCTCTATGTTTATATTGGATTTTCAAGGTGATTTTTTGACTCTGTCTTAGACATTTATCAAGAAACGACAAATAATAGAATTTCGAATTAAGATTTTGTTCATAACTAGATATGTTGACTATGAAAAAATATCTTAAGAATTTCAAACAAAACGAACATTTGTTTGTTGATGAGATACTGAATTTTCAAAAAAGCCCAATTTTTTGAAAATTTAATATTTTAACAAAAAAACATTCTTTTCGAATTTCATTTTAAGGATAATTTATTTTAGAATTCCTCTAGTCTCACCAAGGCTTACTTGTAAATCCAATATGAGCTCATTTGGCAACTTTTCATAATATTTTGACATATTTTGCAGATAAAAGCTGATCTTTTATCTATGACGTCTACTAAAAACTAGTGCGAGAAAATTTTTAATATGATTTACAGATACAAAAAGTTAAGTCATTAAGTGTCTTCATGTACACTTTATAATAAAAAAAAGCTGTTAGCGCAATCCCTTGCGGGATTAAAAATGTGAAACACGATGGCTCTATTATTACTAATTAAATGGAAATCCTTTTCTTCCATTACGTTGCGATACATTTGTAGCTAAC